GGTTTGTAAAACTCTATTATTCTCTATAACATATTTGTTTCTATTCTATCCTACCTCTTACTTGGGTTTTAGGATTTGCAAAATTCCAGTAATTCTCTCTATTGAATTTGATAATTCTTTCAATGGTGTAGATGACATCATGCAATGGTTCCAAAATATGAAATTCATCGAGAGTAATTATGATTACTATGAATAGATAAATTATCTATGTATACAAGATGAGACAGAAAAAATTTTCCTTACTAGGAATTGGAATCACTTCAAAAGAATGAAACTTGAAAGTGAGGACGAATTCAAAAGAGGAAAGTAAAACAAAGAAATAGTCGAAGAAAAATAAATAAATAAACATCGAAAGAAACACATCTTCAAATTGTTAAGCTTCCCCTAAACAAATGCTTTCCAAAAAATAATGAAATGCAACATGCAAATGATATATATAATTTGTATGAGAAGTCAATCTTTATACCAACAAGAATGATAGAGTACAAAAACACATGTAGTTTTGAATCCTTCTTCACAAACTAGCACATTCTCTAAAATATAACATGTTTGAGCAATATAGCCGAAAATTGACGTTACAAAATGTAATTAAGTCTTACATCATCAACTTAACTTTAACCCTTAACCTTACCAGAAATACGCTCCACTTGTCACTTAAAGTGTTTTGGGGTGAATATACACAAAACATCTTTACATGAATGCTCTATCATAGACCTGCAAATTGATCCCGTCTCCACTTGTCACTTAATGTTTGGTAAAGCTAGAATTTCATCGATCAAGCATAATTCGTATGCAAATAAGTTTGTTTGGCAAGCATTGATCAACCAGCCATATGTACTGTATTTTTTTATTTAACAAATACGAGAACTCTCTCACATAAAATATATTAATATTACATGCTATACCACGTACTAACAATAAGCTTCTATTCACATATACCACTTGCTCGAAGTTTGTTTCTGATCCGACACATTTGTGCCATAGCATCACTGATGTCCAATCTTTCTCTAGGCAACTCTGCTGAGCAAGCAACACCAATTTCTAAAACTGACATTAAACTTTTTTCAATTTGGACGTGATTCCTTTTGCTATCCTCGTCATGACAATCACTCTCTTGAACAAGAACAGGATCCAAAACCTCTTCCACTTTCTCCGGCAGAGCTGCCTTCACAAAGTTATGAAGCTCCCCCAAACATGTTATCGGTTGGTCGCTTTCCTGTAAATATTTCCAACAGGAGGATACCAAAGCTGTACACATCACCTTGTGTCCACACTTCATGTCCCATGCCATATTCTGCATTCCACAATTCAAAACATTATATTCTAATTTTCTAGTGAAGTGCTAAAAGCCCATTTCATATTTGAAAATTTTAAAATAAATACTGCACAATCTTAAAATACTAGCTAGGAAAAAATAGACAACTGTGTATTTACCTGGAGGAGCATAACCAATAGTTCCCTTGATCCCTAAAGAACTTGATTGATTTCCCGAAGAACTTTCAGCAGCTTTTGGTAGGAACCTCACCAACCCGAAGTCACCTACATGTGCAACCATGTCCTCATTGAGAAGAATATTGCTGGGTTTGAGGTCGCAATGAACTATTGGCGTCTCACAATGATGATTGAGATAATCCAATGCCATAGAAACATCAAAACAATATTCAACCTCTGAGAAATTGTTAAGCTCCTTGGCCTCTGACTTGTCTCACCAATTGTATGAGTTGGATGCAACCATTCCTCCAAGCTCCCGTTAACCATGAACTCATAAATTAAGGCCTTGAAGTCGTGACCGCGATAATCAAAACCAGAATATGCCGAGAGTACCTTGACAAGATTACAGTGTCTAATATTTCTTAAAGCCTCGCACTTAGCAATAAAACTTTTGTAAGCTCCGAGACGAGCAAGGTTTGAGTACTTTGACAGCAATTGTTTCACCTTGCTCAAGTACTCCTTTATAGACAGACCCAAAGCTGCCCATACCAATCAAGTTGACAGAGGAAAATCCATCGGTAGCTTTGAGAAGACTTTGGTAAGAGACTGAGAGATATTTTTCTGAATCACTTGAAGTCCGCTCTATTTTTGCCCTCTGTGGCCGACGGAGGTACAAAAAGACTACTGCAAAAGTAACCCCAAGAATCCCACAAACCAGAGAAATTATCAATTTCATTTTTGGGCTTAATCCTCCCTTGTTGGAATGTTGGAGTTTGCACTTGGGCAAATGGAATCCAGGAATTCCCCCACAAAGCTTGCTATTTCCTTCAATCGATGTGGCAGTTGCATTCATGAAAACCCCCTTCGTTGGTACCATGCCCTCAAAATTGTTATAAGATAGATTCAAAGATTGCAAAACTTGAAGACGCTCTAAGAATTCTGGAATCGAGCCTGACAAGTTGTTGTGAGAAAGATATAATTCTTTGATGCCTCTTAGTGAACTCAGAGATGATGGAATCGTCCCTTGAAAGAAGTTTCCTTGCAGGTCTAGAGATTCAATTTTAATGCAACTACCAAGACTTGTTGGAATTTCCCCATACAGCATGTTTTCTCCAGATTTATCAAATTTCCTACTTCTTTGGGAAGGAAACCAGTCAACTGATTTTTAGAGAAATCCAATTCCACATAGGAAGATGACAGACCAATGACTTGAGGGGATATGATACCGCTGAGGTTGTTATTAGCAAGAATCAAGGTAATCAATTTCTGGCACCTACCTAGACTTGAGGGAATATTGCCGTCAAGTTTGTTACCGGCTAAACTCAATATGGATAGTTCACTTAAATTCCCAAATGACGATGGGATATAGCCGGAGAGATTGTTAAAACCCAAATCTAATTCGTACAACTTCCGAAGCTTTCCCACATCAGTGGGGATGCTTTCTGAAAATTGGTTCTGAGCAAACCAAATGCTCTCTAGGTTAGCCAGATTTCCAATCCCATGGGGGATGCTTCCTGATATTTTATTGTATTCTACATGCAAGAATACAAGAGAAGATGACAAGTTGGCCATGCATTGAGTTAAATTGCCCCCAAAATTGTTTGTATCGAACATCAGTTGTCGTAAACGGGTAGCATTAGTCAGATCGCAAACAAAGCTCAAGTCATCGATTTCCCCCCTTCCAAGATTGTTGTAAGCAATATTCAAGGACTCAAGATTAACTAAATTTTTCAAAGAAGGAACTTTCTCCTGAAATTTGTTTATTTCCATCCAAAGATAAGTTAGAGTTGAGGCATTAGATAACGAAATGGGAAGAGGTCCAGTAAATTTGTTGTGGCCGACCCCTAAATATTGGACTTGGAAAGATAATACCTAGGTTTGGAGGTAAAGTGCCTTGGATTCTGTTGACTGTAACATCAATGATACTAATGGAAGAGAGATTATAGAGTGAGGGAGGGATCACATCTGAGAACCTATTACTACCCAAACCAAGAGCTTTAAAATTGGCCATTTGACCAAAGATATCTGGAATACTCCCATAAAAATCATTACCAGGTGCCATAAGCAACTCAAGAGATGATAAATTGGCAAAGGAGTATCGAAATTATTCTCAACTTCGACAAAGTGCCAACCTCCTCAGGAAGTCTTCCTACCAGAAAATTCCCACCAAAAGCAATTCTGGTTAGTTGAGAGCAACGCGATAAGTTTGAGGGAATTTCACCGGTAAGGGAATTATTCTCCCAAACTATATCTTGCAATCTTGAGAGACGGCCGATTTCTGGGGGAATTTTGTGGCTCAAGTTATTGTTGGTGAGAGAAAGTACTCTCAAAAAACTCAAATTCCCAACATGTGGTGACAGAGAGCCTGAAAGATTGAAGGACTGCAGGTTCAACACCGTGACCCTCTTGTGACGACGACCACATGTGACACCACGCCAATTGCAAAAATGGTTGGTTTCGTTCCATGAAGTCAAGGCTTCAACAGGGTCATAGGTTATCCTCGCTTTGATTTCAAGCAAGGCCAATCGATCCGTCTCATTTCCACTCAGTCTCAAGGCAAGGCATGAGTGAAAAATAAGGACATGAAAGCAAAAATATGAGAAAAGCAAAACTGAAAAGAACTTGTTCATCCCCATGGTGGTTGCTTCTTGTTATATGCTTACAGCAGCTCTGCGGAGAATACATCTAATTTATAAGCAACCTGCCGCATAATATCAATACGTTGAGGCATATTCATCCCCCAAAACACGCAATTACTGTCCTAGTTAATGATGCCACGGTATTGGGGTCGGTTTTGTTTAACATTTTGCGGGGTTTTTTTTGCATGAATCGGATTGGAAATAAATTTTTAATTTTCATTTCAAAAATTTTGGATCAGGATAATCTCACATTTTTTGGAACATAATTCGGAAACTTATATATTGTACAATTCTTTCATTAAGTAACCACTGAGGCACTTGTTATTCACTAACTCATTGTACACTTCGTTACTATTTTGCAAGTAACTTACTACGGTCTAATGATATTCTTCTTTCACTTGTAAGTGAGAGGTCTCAAAAAATAAAAAAAAAAACCACTCAGCACCAGATTATAGAATGGAATAAGTATACACCATGTGGGTCAACTATATTGTCTCTAGTGTTGGAAAATGCCATGATACACTGATATATAGTGGTTAGGAATCAAGATAAGGAGAGTGCAAAGTGTGGTAAGTAATCAAGATAAGGAGAATGCAAATTGAATCCAAGGACGACCCCTCCACGGGTCCATTAGGTTTTAGAAATTAAGATAAGGCTTGACTGGTCATTAGGAAATTAAGATAAGGTTTTAGAAATTAAGATAAGGCTTGACTGATAGAGCATGTAATTGCTTTAACTACATCTTTATTAAAAAATTCATCGGGTGGGAAATGCAGAGCGTTGCAATGCATACATGAAGACCGAATATAGTAGTGTGAATTAAGTGTGCCGCATGATACATCAATGTCAACATTTCTTTTTTACTTAAAATAGCCCCAAAGATTATATGATAATACAGAACTCGCCAAACCACTTACCCTAACAAAAAAATGCCGAGAATAAACTTGTGTCAATATGTAGCCAAAGGGAGACATAAACTACAAATCAACAGTGACTAAAAACAAAATCTCAGAGACCAAACATGCACAAACATGAAGCAAAAAGAAAAAGAAAAATTGTTGGAAAAACTGACCCTTAATTGTGATTCTATAGATCATGCGCAACCCTCTCCTAAAACCAAACTAAACACAAGATAAGCTAAATAACAAATGACTTCATTCAATAAATTTACAAAATTAACTGCAAATCACTAAATTAGCCTCTTGAATTCAGCCAGAGTACTCATCAGGAAACCCAACATTTTTCAGAATATGATTAGCATTTTGACCTGTCATTTTGACCTGGCATTAGATAACGAAATGGGAAGAGGTCCAGTAAATTTGTTGTGGCCGACCCCTAAATATTCTAGAGTTGGAAAGACAATACCTAGGTTTGGAGGTAAAGTGCCATCAAGCCCCACAAAAGTCGTAGAACTTGGCAGCATATGGTGGATTGTTGGGTCCCAATGCATAGTACCTTAAATTGATAAAATAAAAATTAAAAAAAAAATTAAAAAAAATAAAAAATAAAAAAATCAATCAAGTAAAGCTGTCATTTCTAATTAATCAAATACCAGACCGTAAGAAATATATAAGCATAGTTATTGAAGAGCAATTTCTCTCTCTCCCCCCTCTATTTCCAGCCGACTGGGAAATAGAAAATACAACCCAAAATGCCCAAAAAGCAGAAGCTCAAAGACAAAAATAGAAAATAAAAAAGGCATTCGAAAAGAGAAAGTCGTTGAAATTTACCCAAAATGTACAGAGATCCAGGACTCAGATAAATTAATTTCAGGATCAAACACTAAAGGGATGCAAAACTTTACCCTTTTCTCATTTGCAGGTACCAAAATCAATTTACAAAATTAAGGTTAGGGTTTTCATATTCTGAATTAGGTAATGAAAGTCATGTGAAAAGTTCGGAAATAACCAAACTAACATCCAATTTAGCACACACCTGATAGAAACATAAGTAAGAAACTATTTCCAATTCGTCATTCATTTATCAAACACTATACAGTCATAGAAACACTCTTAACTCACATACCAAAGTTGAATTAATTAAATTGGATGTTGGGGTCAAAATTTTGTGTCCGCCTAAGGATATTTGAGTCAAAGAACTCAAATATCAGAGATACAAAACAGAGAAGCTTGTGTACATCATTTATAAAGGCTACCTCCTTTTGGTTGCAAAACTAAAGGGTGACGCCAATTCTTCTTCTGCTTCCACCTCCTTATGGAACTTGACCCGCTAGTCATATTTGTACATGAAGCTGAAATCAGCAACCAGTCAGTACCTTTGGCAAGCTAATGGAGGTATGACAACATCTATGGGAAGATTATTGCAACTCTAATTAACAAAGAAGCATTCATTTGAGGATGTCAATGAGGGAGAGAAGAAGAAGAAAAGAAGAGCTAGTTGAGGAACAAAAGAATTTTGGTGCTGTATTCGGTTTGGAGGTATGGTCTTAAGAATTTACAAACTGCCTATATGATTCGCTTGCTTTCTAATTCTTTTTTACTACCTCTTTTTTCATGAAGGTATAATCGTCACATTATTTTCTAACATAAAATATGCAGTCAAGACGTTTAAAACATTGCCCATAAGTTAATTGAGATGGGTTTTGTTTGAGTAGTTGGTGACCTTCACAGTTGACCAATTACGGCTGACATGTGATTGATAGTATAGGAATATCTATTTAAAATAGTTAAAGGATTTCAAGGACGCCTCTAGACTTATTCTATTTAGAAGATCAGGTTGAATAATAGGTTTTGGCTCCAACGGATTTCTTGCATAGAAGACTTCACAAAATGATGTCAGATTTCAAATTTAAGGCATGTTTTTAAGTGCAATAAGATATCTCGAAACGTATCCTGAAGTTATACTAAAATTTCATAGAAAGAAGAAGAAAGAATAGTCCAAAATTTTACCCGTCCAATAACTCCATCACACTTATCTCCAATCAGAGCAATGATATCCTCAACAGACATAATTGTTTTATTTTGCGTACATATTTAAACACAAAAAGTAAACATTTTCGCATCAAATTCACATATAAAATGGTCCAAAAGTGCAGGCAATGGTATAGTGCTTATCCTATCCAATTAACAAAGATAAGCACTATTTGTCGTCAATTCAACATAATATAAAAAGAAACTACACCTGAGCAGTGGTCACAGGAACCAATCTTGTGCGATCAGTCAAACAGTGTTTATCCTCTCAAAGATCTGCATATCCATTATAACCCAATCTTTAGTCTTGCAAAAAGTGATATGCTAACTCCAAATTCCCATAAAAAGCCATCTTTCTACAACTTGAAACCAAAATTTAAGTGAATGGCCCTCCAACTAAGGTTATTGAACATGATTAACTATCCACTTATGACAAGTATCCGCAACCCTCAACCTTGTAACCTGAATCAAGCTGGTTTCACGCATACCAATAGAAAACCAAAATGTCAATGTTTGGGGAAGTTACCTTATTTGAAATACCACTAGAAAACGGAGCATACTTTTAGGCAAATATTGTTTAAACACCCAAACATGATGTATTATCAAGAAGAAATGATGTATTATCATGAAGAAATTAGAATATCAAAGTCCTCAACAAAACATGAGGCACAATTATCACAATTAGAAAAATCACTTCTTCTCGTTATAAATATTCAATTCGAATCATTTCAAATAAAATGCACATAAATTCAAACCAGTACATGCACACAAAGGTAGGGAAAGTCATAACTGGGTCAAACATAAAAGAAAAATTTAAAGAATAGCTCAAGGAAACATTTTATCGATGAAGATTCAAGAAGGAATATGGTCAAGAACGAAACTATGAGGAATACCAAATACCTCACAGGGACACAAAACTACTTGAATGTACCCGAACGAATGTAAATCCAGCATTCTCTAAAAACTATCTCCATCCTACATCATCATCTACCCTTAAGCACAACCACTAAAACTGTAAAAGACCTGAAAACCATGATCTACACCACAAATCATACAACTAATCCATAAACCAATCAGTCATCAAGCATATTCCTTTATCTTTTCCTAATTTGTTTGTGTATTCAATTTATTTGCAATGCTCCAAAACAGTGAAATGCACATGATTTCTCTTTTCCTCCTAATCTGGAAAAACAAATCAGTAGCCAATCCCAATTTAAATTAACAGAAAGGGGAAGGAAAAAAAGACAAATTGAATTCAAAAGATTCTACATGATGTACCACACCACCATTTAGATTCACCATATCTCGCTTTCACCATTTAACGTATTTAGAATGGTTATTAGGGTGATTTGCTATCTAAGACTCGCTTGGGAGTTGGGAGCGAAGTTAGAAGTCGCAAGCTCTTGAAATGCAGTAATGAATTTGGATAATATTGGACATGGAAGAAAATATCACATGCACAGCAAGCTACAGCGATCATAAAAAAAATAAAATAAAATAAAGAGAGAGATCTTAAGCAAAAACCATGAATCCAACTCAAAAATGAAATCTTCCAAATAACATCTCAAACCATAACCCAAATCAAATGCACCAAATCCCACATCAAAAAATAAATTATACAAATTGACATATTGGTAGAAACCCAATAGAGATTTTAGAGAGCGAGAGTACCAGAGGGAGTGAAATATGGTTGTACCTGGAAAGCAACAAATAAATTATATAAATTGACTCTAACATTTGTTGAATCCAACAAATTGATACATAATAACAGTTGTTTGGGATATAGATATGGGTGTACCTGGAAAGATTAAAATTCACCATGCAAGCCGTATTCATGGAGGACTTGCTCTAGTTCTTCCATAGTGATATACCTGATAATCAGAATGCATTTTGGCAACATTGTTATAAATAAGATGCTGATGATGATGAGTTATAACCTTACTCCATGCTATGTATAATTAACATTTAAGAGCATTATGTAAAAGATAAAAAAATAATAAAAATAAAAAGCCCATCTATTATGATCTCTGCATACCCTTGCTGTTTCGTAGGAGAGGCCGATGAACAGTGGCAGTAGAATTAAGCAACCAAGTTATGAAATACGAATTTAAAATGTACTTATTTACTGTGTCTGTAATGAATCTGTGAAATCAAATAGTTAAACCCTAAAAAGCACCGCTGCAAACAGCATAAGAAAATTGAAATTAACCCTAAAGAAATTGGGAGAGAAGAATATGAAATGGGAATACCTTTCGGCCCTTTGAGTTATTGGAAAAAAAAAAAAAAAAAAAAACCCAACAGAGCAAAAGCCTCCAACTCCAAACACTGTTGTGGGATTTTGAAGAGAGCAAGAGAGAGAGAGAGAGAGAGAGAGAGAGAGAAAACATCAGAAGAAATAAAGCAAGAGAGGGGGAACCAAAAGGGGGGAGAAGAAGAAGCAGCAGCTAAAGCAAAGCAGAGGAAGAAGAAATAAGGGAAAAAAAGGACGACTGAAATGAAGTGGGTATATTTAATTGGAAATTTGAAAGATTTTACTGGATGCATAAATTTATGAAATTTTATAGAGTTTAATTGATTTTTAGAGATTTCATATAAAATTTTGATTTAATTCTCTCGAAATCTTATGGGAAGAGTTGAGACTCGTGGATACTTAAAATAAACTATAAAATCTCTTCAATTCCCTCTAATTCCTCAACTTTTCCAAATTCTTTAAATTCTAATTCTAATTGAATACACTAGAATGTTATAAACTTCTTTAAAATTTTAATTGAATACACCCAGATATCTAAGGATTTTAATAAATTATCTTAAAATCCTGATTGAATACACATTGAATTTCAGTTAATCATTTAAAATCATGATTGAATACCCCTGAATTTATTAAAAAAAATTAAAATCCCTTAAAATCTCAATTGAATACACTCACTAAGTACGCAACCATATACTTATAACAACAACTAATCAAATAGAACTAAAAAAATATGGGGGATCATATCAATCGCACTTACCAAGTATTGAAAGATATCATTTCGAGCAACAAAGTCAGTCTCACAGTCAAGTTCAATAAGACCATCTCTAATGGAACAAACTTTTTGGTCCTCTAAGATATTAATATTTTAATGAACAGTACATGGTCATCTTTACCTTCATCTCCAACCGAAGGCCAAAGGGTCATAGGGTTCGTTTTACCCCTACCACAAAAAACCGTCTCCAACCGAGGATTAAAGGGTTATAGGGCTAAACATAATTTATTATTTAAATTTAAAAACTATAACAACTTAAATTTAAAAACTACAAACTTATATTTAAAAACTACAACTTAGTATCTATAGCAGGATCTTGTTGCACATCTTTGGTCCAAAAGAAGCATAGAGTTGGTGTTTAAGTTTTATATTGTTAAAAGTTTTTAAAAATGTTGTTTAAGTTTCATGTTGTTAAATGTTTTTTTTTATGTTGCATAATTTTTATATTGGTTAATGTTATTTAATGTTGTTTCATATTGTTTAATGTTGCTTCATGTTACTTAATTTAATTTAATATTGTATAATGGCTTAGGAAGTTATAGGAAAAAAATAGAACTTAAAAAATATATGAAACAAATTTTGTAAAATAGAAGTAATAGGAAACAAATGTTGTCAAATAGAAGTTACAGAAAAAAATAAAATTTAAAAAATGAAGTTATAGGAAGAAAAAAAATTTGTAAAAAACAAAAAAAAAAACATAAAAATTAAAATTGTAAAAAAAAAAAAACAAATAGAAGTTACAGGAACTTCTTTTGTTGCTTCGCACTAAATGCGAGGGGGATGTCGTTCTGCATGCTATGGCTCTCTTCACTCCCCATGTTGGAGAAGGGTGCTTGGTCGAAAGAAAGTGTACGAATGGTGGAAACCAGATTGACAAAGCTGGAGAGATTAGGAATAAGTGTGATTCCCACAGACGGCGCCAAATGTTGATGCACAAAATCGACGAGGACTTTGGTACAACATAAAGTGTCAAGTTTGTGACATTCGCTAGGTTGCTCTGGTCATTAGTGTGGATAGGTATGTAAATGAATGGAGATAGGGAAGCAAACAACACAAGATGTACATGGTTCACCCAAATTGGCTACGTCCACGGAGTAGAGGAGTTCTCATTAGTTGTGAAGGGTTTACACAAATACATAGGTTCAAGCTTTCTTTTAGTGAGTTGTAGTGAATAGTTTAGTACAAATGACATTAGGGGTTATTGTGGGAGAATGATCTCCTTTTATAGAAGAGAGTTTCTAGCTTTGTTCTAACATTGACACGTGTCCTGTTGTGATTGGCCTCTGATATCGACACGTGTTGCGCTATGATTGGCCTCTGATATCGACATGTGTCGCGTTGTAATTGGCTTCCTGGTTGGAGGAAAAGTCTTGTGTGTCCTTGACAGTATACTGTTGACCGGTGCATAGTAGTTTTGGGATTGGTCAAGTATGGTACAAACATATTATTTTATAACTTTTCGGATAATAACACGTGACGCAACGAGAACGATTAAAAATCTTATCTGAAATTAGAAATAAAATTATTTTGTATTATTTTATAAATAAAAATAATAATAATATTTTATTGCCTATTGTCAGGGCTATTAAAGTGCAACGGTGAAGATGCAAAATGCGATTATTGTTCATTAAGGGCAGTTACTGTTCACTGGGTGGATAACATAGTATATTACCTGGGGTTCCCATGTTGGAAGTGCTCTTAAGTTTTTTACTTTACCATTTCCTGATGTTTGCACCAGAGAAGACCAAATACAAAATTCTATAATTGTAAAAAATAATAGGTAGTCAACCTAGTCATTGTTAGTGATATAGTTCCCTTTTATTCGCAAAATGAAATTGTAATGCCATTTCCCACTTTTTCTTCTGGTCAATGGTGGCATTACATTTTTGGTGGAAGCTGCACTGCCTGGTTTCAGGATGGGTACAATCCAGTGGCGGTTGATATGAAGGGAGACGAGGACAATTCTAGGAGCAATAAGAAGAGAAATCCATTCAGTGCTGATTTTTTCGGCTCTCTCTGCTATACTTTCCAGCACGGGAAACTTATAGAGCTCTACGGTGATCTAACCAGGATTGATTCTCGTCTCGATATTTGTTTAGCTTCAGCTTTGGCTAAAAGGGTTATTTATGGTTTGAAGAGTTCCTTTGCTAATAGTGCAAAAGATCTGGTGTCCTCCCCTAGGATCAATATAATCTTTTAGCAGCAGGTATTTCTATTTATACCTTAATTGTCTAAATGTTGTGCACCTTAAGTTGGAAGAGAAATTTTAAATGCAGTTATGCACAATATGTTACAAAATCCACATAGTCATTTGCTAATTGGTACTTGTGGAAGCGCGTATGTAACATCCCACATCGACCAATAGAGAGAGGGTGACGTGCCTTATATGCACATGTGCACCTTCATATAGCACAAGGCCTTTTGAAAACTCACTGGCTTCGGGTTCCATTGGAACTCCGAAGTTAAGCGAGCTCGGGCGAGAGTAATCCCAGTATGGTTGACATACTGGGAAGTTCTCGTGTGAGTTCCCAAAAACAAAACCATGAGGGCGTGATCGGGGCCCAAAACGAACAATATAGTGTTACGGCGAAGTTGACACTAGGATGTGATAGTGTATGCCCTGTCTGATTTTGATAATTTGCAGTCATTTTTCTGCTGACGTATCTGTACAGTCGTTTTACTGCTCATTTGTTTTAATGTACGACTATTAGATCAGCGTAGAACTTTAAAATGAGAGGATGAAAAGCTGAGCTCCTTTATATGGCTATTAACATGCGTGGCTGGGGTGAATGTTTTGGTTACTGGGATGAAAATCCAATTGTTATTGACACATTACGTTTCCTTTGTAGATTTAAGGGCCAATTGTCTTTCGAACGGATTCCAGGATTGCACTTGACTGTGTTAGTATCGTGCCACTTTCACTTGAAGGTTGAAGAGAGTTTGAGTAGCAAAGCTTGGAGATAAAATTGCCTACTAGTTGATGGGTTTTGTAAGTCTTTCTGTACTCATTTGTCCTGACTTGGGAGGGAGCCCGAGGATTTTCCTACGTCCATGTGTACATTTATTTGTTTATTATGTAGGATATTTCATATGATGCGAATGTGAAATTTGAGAATCGATATTAACATTAAATTTATAAATTGGAACCTATTCACCTCCCTTAAACTAGCATCTTCCTTCATTGAAATATAACATATGAGCACTCTATGACCACTATCTCCTTTCACACCATGGTGGATTTTGCGGATTTCCCAACCATCAATCTCTTTCTTGCAAAGTACTTCTATGACAACGATACAACGCCATGGTAAAGTCTCAAGCCAATGAAACAATTATAACTCATAAGTTTTTCTCCACTTAATATCATGTCATTAGCACAAATGCGATCGAGATGATACACCATGTTCAAACTCATTTCAAGGCAGATGAGGACCCAAAGGAAGAGACAAATAAAACCTTCACAAACCCACCACTTGAACCCCAAAACCGAAACCAAAAAGAATTCGCGCTCCCTCACTCTTTCGACAGCCAACAAAGGCGAACCTGAGGACGGCGATGGACTCAGCCTTCTGGGACTTGAACGTTTCTTCGCCTCAGACCCTTGAGGGCTCGGCCAAGGCCGTTCCCGGCGACCCCTTTCCTCTCGACGGTGCTCGAGCCAGCCGAGCCCTTAGGATTCAGCAACTCTTTCTTCTGGGTGTTATACCTTCCTACAACCCCAATTCTTACAGGACTTGGGTTCTTTCTCTCACCAGTCCCTCTGCTCAGACCAGCTACCTCTAACTGGTACACGGCTACAACTTCTTTGCTTAGCTATTGCCTATTGGGTTTTCTCAAATTTATTTTATTTTTCGTTTAATGGATATTCTTTTTCGTTTTACGTGTTTCTGTTGATTGGTTTGTGGTTTGTATGGTTACTGAGAAAATGATGGGAAATGGGTGTGATTCATTTGTTGTTTGTTTGGTTGCCGGGAAAGTTTGGAGAGAAGAACAATTGAAATTGTTGTTATGGGGTTGAATTGGGTAAAGGAAAAAGGTTAGGAAAGATAATTTGTCTCCTGTTTCCTGAGAAATGAACCTTTTTTTTGTTCTCCAAATTCGTATTTTTGTAAACAATTTTTATGTTACTAATTGCTAAGGAGCCTCTGCTTCTAGGTTTGGTTTGTTCTTTGTTTGATATTTAGGAAGATGTTGGTATATTGTATAAACTTTGGGTTATTGGTGAATTACTTGATGTGAGAAAGAGAGATTGAGTGGAAAGCTTGACAGCCGAACAAAGCTTGTTTGCCTAGTTCTAGTGGTATAGCACATAAAGCATGAATTTTTTGTTGCCTTGTTATTTTACTGATTTGCAAGCGAGTTCTTATGTTTTTCGAGAGCATCAAAGCTTTATCAGGTTTATCAGAGCACTGGTTGGGACTATCCCTATGCTTAGACCAAAGTCATCTCACATTAGCATACTAATTCCCTTGTTACATGATCTGCGTGAAAATAGGTGGCTTGGATTAATTGGGCAGTTCCGCCCGAAGAAACTCTTTTCTTGTATTAAAGCTGAAGTTACCAATGATGAGATGGGGGTCCCTACTTTGAAAGATGTGGTGAAGCGTGTCTTGGACAAGTCACTTTATTCGTTTGGATTATGCACACAGCTTCTTTCGTCTCCGTCCTCATCCATAAAGTTGAGCACAGAAGGACATGGTGAGAAAAAAGGATGCCACAACAAATTGATGCTCTTTCATAAGGCACGCATTTACTTTCTTGTTTTGACCTTTAATCAAATGTTTAAACAGTCAGAATTCCTTTTGTCCCTTGTTTGCCGGGTTTTTGAAGCTAGTTTGAGGGATTTATGGGTGTCAATTTCTTCATTTTTTGTACAATTGCTATGGCTAGGTGGATAATTTGTTTACTGATTGGAGTTGTTAGGTTTAAAGTTCTTTTTTGGGTTTGTTCATGCCAGGTTGTAGTATCATCCAACTGCGATTTTTTCTTTCTTTCATATGACAAATTTCTCTTATAGGAATTGAAGTTAAAAATAAGTAATTATAGGGATGTATCACTTGAACTTTACCAGATTCTGTCAGCATGTATAATCTTAAAGTATTGTTTCCTAATTTCTTAATTGTTGAAAAGTAGGGCCTTGTTTGGTCTCTAGGATTGGAATGGAATGGACAAACTACTATATTGAGGGTATATTAAAGATAGGGGTGAATGATTTTTCATATTGAGGTGATTAGAAGGGGGATATGGAAAATAATCCCTTCTGATCCTTACCATTTTGGTGGATTGGAATGGAAAATAATCCATCTCCTACCTTCAAGTAAGCCACAATTTTTTCATTTCTTTCGTCAACATACCTTGAATATAGTGGGTTGTCCATTTCAATCCAATCTTAGAGACTAAATGAGGCCACAATTTTTTCATTTCTTTCCTGAACATACCTTGGATATAGGTTCGTATATATCAACATGCTTCAAAAATCTTAATTTACAAGTTTCTTCTGTTTACCACTTTTCTTTATAGGTTACATGACTTGATAACATTGCACATATGCACTGCAGGGAACATAGATAAAATTGGAAAGTTTCATGTCTATAAATTAAGAGCCATGTACTGACAAAGTTAATATCAGTACCTTTAACATTGCACATGTGCTGCCTAAGCTGTTTGAGTGAAAAAGTTCATGTCTGTACCTTTATTTCCTTTATTTATCTTCCTGTTTAAATTATGAGCCATGCATTAAATTTTCTCAACCTTTAAGGTGTTTGCAGCTTCCTTACCATGATATTACACTTAAGGCTGCATGGCCTGAACTGTTCGTTGACCATAAGGGAAAATACTGGGATGTGCCTGAGTCAATTTCCTTAGATATGTCATCACTTGTCTCCAAATCTGGATTGCGGTACCACATTGGTGTACATAAAAACAGTGGTCATCCCCAGGCAGTTAATTCCATAGATGATGAGGCACCTCCTTCTCTAATGCCTGGATTCTGCGCAAAGGCTGCCTTTTCTTATGAAAAAAGCCAAGATCTTTGGAGTCAAAATGAGACACGAAAAGACATCATGATACAGAAAGAAAAGGGTTTGTTTTGGCGGCCATCTTATGATGTGCGTCTTAAAGAACCTCATGCTGCGGTATATGGAGTTTTTGGTAATTTAACACGTTACTCATATTTTCTGTGATAACTTGTATTATCTCGTTACAGTTTTTTGGAAGTTTCATACCAATACTCAGGTGTATATTATAATTTTTTAGTTTATACATTTGCATGTTTTTATACACGTATACATGTTTTGGTACCTCTTAGTTTCATTTATATTGTATGTGTGTAGTTTTCTACTTTAGTATATTAAAAGCCAGTAGACTTAAGGAGTATGTCACCTCCTTTTAGTAGGTGTGACTGCAGTAAAAGAAAATAATAGTAATAAAAATAATTCTAGAGACAAATTCTAACAGAACAATTCTATATTTTTATTTTGTGTTTACAAGTCCAGATCTGTTGCCGACAGTATGCAGTATCTTTAGTTTTTACTTTAACTATTTCCTGATGTTTGCCCCAGGGAAGGCCAGATACGAAATTCTTTAATTGTCAAAATTAATCATTGTTAGTGATATAGTTCCCTTTCGTTTGCAAAATTAATTTGTAATGCCATTCTCACTTCTTCTGGTCAATGGTGGCATTAAATTTTAGGTGGAGGCTGCACTGCCTGGTTTCAGGATGGGTACAACCCAGTGTCAGTTGATATGAGCCGAGACGAGGGCAATTCTTGGAGCAGTAAGAAGAGAAGTCCATTCAGTATTGATTTTTTCGGCTCTCTCTGCTATACTTTCCAGCACGGAAAATTTGGAGAGCTCTACGGTGATCTGACCTGGATTGATGCTCGCCTGGATATTTGTTCAACGTCAGGTTTGGCTAAAGGGGTGATAATGGTTTGAAGAGTTCCTCAGCTAATAGTGCAAAAGATCCGATGTCCTCCCCTAGGATCAATCTAATCTTTCAGCAGCAGGTATTTCTATTTATTCCTTAACTTTTTAAATGTTTCACACCTTAAGTTGTAAGAGATATTTTAAATGCAGTTATGCACAATGTGTTACAAAACCTGCATCGTCCCCATCAAATCCTCAAAACAAATCTTCCTCAAAATATTCCATCTTCACCTCCAAAATACCCACAATATTCAAAAACGTCAATCTGGGAAAGCTACGCGTTATGCCTTCTTTTCTTCGCCGCGGTTAAACGACTTGGTAGAAAAATCTGAAATTTTGGTACAATCATCTTGAAAGACTCACGACCATCCTTCAATTGAAATCTCTAAAATTCATCCGTTTGATCACTTTTTACTCAAGAGGAAGTCGAATGCCCTGCATTGAAAATACATAACAAAGTATCAAAATTCTACCAAAATAACCAATAAACTATAACTAAGAATAGGGTAAAATAGATGGGATAATATGTACTCATCAAATACTCCCAAACTTAGCTTTTTGTTTGTCCTCTAGCAAAACAAAACTCAAAAACAAAAAATAAAAACTAACAAACTAAAAACTTTAACAAAACTTGACTAAGACAATTTTCACTTTCAAGTTGCAATCCATAAAAAATGTTAAAATTAGAACATCTTTTAAAAAATTCCAACCAATACCACCACAGAGTCTAAGCCATTTAGAATTAATTAGAAAAGAACTCATGAACTTCATTTGGTATAAAATGAATCAACATGGTTAAAAAGACTCGACTAAAACCCTTACCACTTGTCCATTTTAGTTAATACTTACTAACTTCAAACATAACTATTTTGAAGTTAAAAAGACTAACCCTTACCACCACAAAGTCTAGTCCATCTGAACTCCGAAGTTAAATGAGTTTGGACGAGAGTAGTACTAGGATGGGTGACCGCCTAGAAAGTCCTCGTGTTGCATCCCTCGCAACCGACCCCACATGGTGGGAAAAGGCTTAAGAAAAAGAAGAAGAAGATAGTAATAAAAGTGGTTGTGCAATGTTAGTTCACTTAAACTTTCGATCCAACCCATGTAATGAGTTTTAGGTCAATGACTCCCAAACCACAAGGGCTTTAGGACACTAGGTGTAGAATGCCCCTAAGGACTTACTAACTCGAGCTGAAAGGGCTACGAAACCAACTAACCACCTTGCCCCATGCCAAGATTCTACTATTTGACGCAAGATCACTACTGATTAGGCATGACTGACCTGGTTACTAAGCAAAGTCTCGGTGGAACAATTATTACTTTATTTATAACAATAACTAAACTTTATTTTTTTAGAACAAAAATATAAAAAATTAACTAAAAGCAAGTGCTTCAATCTCACCCCCACAAATCATGTTGGTGTGAATGTGCTAATTGTGAAAGGATAACTCATGAATTAGTGCCAAAACAACAATAAATAGAAAAGACTCTACTGTGGAATTAATTTTCACCATGTCCATTTGTTCAAATATTTAAAATAATCTATGAATATTATCTTAAAAAAAATGAAAAATTTTAGCATACTTAAAAATTAAAAATCTAAAAATTTTAACTTCCCACCCCCAAACTTAAATCACACATTATCCTTGTGCGGAAACAGGAACTAGAGGCCCATTTTAGCGACCAGAGGCCCATTTCCTCTTCTCTCCTAACTAGCGCCGTACCCGCGAGCCCAGAGCCGTGAAAGCTATTTCTTTCATTTCCGCTTTCCCTTCATTTCTCATGGAACTGAAACCCTAGTTTCTATCATCAACCCAGAACGTCAAAACATGAATCCATCTCCATCTCTGTCACAAACGGAACCCAGCCATGGCGATCTTTGATTAGCCATGGCGATCTTTGATTATGGTCTCCACTTGGCGATATCTGAAATAAAAATGCATCCAACCATTTCTCCCTTTCGTTTTCACAACCGAAGCTCAAATGGAAACGAAATTCTGACTCATGCATGTATGTTTTCTGTATGTAGACTTGGGGATCCGAGTAAGGCCAAGGGGAATAGGAACTGCAAGGAGCAATGGCTCACAATTGAAGGTGCTGTACACACAGCAAAAATGGCTGCAAGAACTCGGATCTACAAAATGAAAGGTAAATCAAATCCCTCTACTGCGTTAAAATTAAGCATGGTTTAATATCTCTGAAAGTCATACGGATTTGTGAAGTGTTTCTGTCATGCATTTGTAGACCTAAAATTTCGTCAATGCTCATGTAATTTTCTGTGACATGGCTTTGATGAATGCCCACCTCTGTGTTGCCTGGACCACCCCCAAACTATGTGTAAAACAATATTTTAATGAAATATGAGAGTAAGTGAGCGAAAGATAAATGTTGATGAATGGATGATAAATGCTCAGATAAATGTTGATGAATGGTTGACTGAACTCAGCCTCAAATTCTTTTCTGCATTTGTGTCGATGATGAATGCTCAATGTTGATGAATGGATGACTGATGAATGCGTATTTTCGTATCTTTATTGTTTCGTTTACAGAAGAGTAAGGTTTATATACCCCTTCTTTTTCATGTATTTTTTATTCTTTTTTCTTGTATTACGAGGAGTTAGGTTTATGTCTCCCTTAACTAGGTGTAACTTACTTTTTGTTATTAATAAAATTCTCCTCGTACCGTCTAGGTTTTCTAAACAAATAAAACAAAAAAAGCAATAAACTACTATGGAACGCTTCCCATTTTCAACCAGGTATAAGCCTCTCAACAGAGAGTAGGAAATCCAACATAGGTTCGAAATTTGATGAATACTTTCGACAACTTTGTTTTTTAATTTTTATTTTTAATTCTTTCAGAGTGTTCGTCCTGTAATGTTTGGCAAAGCTAGAATGTCATTGTTCAAGCATAATTCGATGCAAATAAGTTTGTTTGGCAAGCATTGATCAACTAGCCATGTGCACTGCATTTTTTATCTAACAAATACGAGAACGCTTTCACATAACATCAATACTATTACATGCTATACCACATTTTAACAATAAGCTTCTATTCGCATATACCATTTGCTCGAAGTTTGTTTCTGATCCGACACATATGTGCCACAGCATCACAGATGTTCAATCTTTCTCTAGGCAACTCCGCTGAGCACGCAACACCAATTTCTAAAACAGAGATTAAACTTTCTATGATTAGGACGCGATTCCTTGCCCTCCCCTCATTAGGATGATTGCTCTCTTGAACAAGAACGGGATCCAAAACCTCTTCCACTTGCTCAGGCAGAGCTGCCTTCACAAAGCTATAAAGGTTTGAAGTTCCCTGAAACATGTCATCGGTCGGTCTTTTTCCTGTAAATATTTCCAATAGGAGGATGCCAAAGCTGTACACATCACCTTGTGTCCACACTTCATGTCCCATGCCATATTCTGCATTCAACAATTCAGAACATTGGATTCTAATTTTCTAGTGAAGTGCTAAAAGCTCATTTCATGTTTGAAAATTTTAAAATAAATACTGCACAATTTTAAAATACTAGCTAGGGAAAAATAAACCACCAAGTGTATTTACCTGGAGGAGCATAACCAATAGTTCCCTTGATCCCTAAAGAGCTTGATTGATTTCCCGAAGAATTTTCAGCAGCTTTTGGTAGGAACCTCACCAACCCGAAGTCACCTACATGTGCAACCATGTCCTCATTGAGAAGAATATTGCTGGGTTTGAGGTCGCAATGAACTATTGGCGTCTCACAATGATGATGGAGATAATCCAATGCCATCGCAACATCAATAACAATATTCAACCTCTGAGAAATTGTTAAGCTCCTTGGCCTCTCATTTGTCTCACCAATTGTATGAATTGGATACAGCCATTCCTCCAAGCTCCCGTTAACCATGAACTCATAAATTAAGGCCTTGAAGTCGTGACCGCGATAATCAAAACCAGAACATGCTGAGAGTACCTTGACTAGATTACGGTGTCTAATATTTCTGAAAGCCTCGCACTCAGCAATAAAACTTTTGTAAGCTCCGCGACGAACGAGGTTGAGTACCTTGATGGCAACTGTAGTTTCACCTTGCTCAAATACTCCTTTATAAACGGACCCAAAACTGCCCATACCGACCAAGTTGGTTGAGGAGAATCCATTTGTTGCCTTTAGAAGACTTTGGTAAGACACCTGGGGAAATTTGTCCGAATCAGTTGCAGCTTGACCCTTTTTGTCCCTCCGTGAGCAATAAAGGTACAAAAAGGTTAGTGCAAAAATGACTCCAAGAATCCCACAAACGAGGGAGAGAACCAATTTCATGGTTAAGCTCAATCCTTTCTTTTTTGCATGCTGGAGTTTGCACTTTGGCAAATGAAACTCAGGTATGCCCCCACAAAGCTTGCTATTTCCTTCAACTGATGTCGCCGTTGCATTCTTGAACACTCCTTTGATCGGCAACATGCCCTCAAAATTGTTATAAGATAGATTCAGAGATTCCAAGAATACAAAACCTTCTAAGAATTCTGGAATGGTGCCTGACAAGTTGTTGTGAGAAAGATACAATTTTGAAAGACCTCTTAGTGAACTCAAAGTTGATGGAATTGTCCCATTGAAGAAATTTCCATGCATGTCTAGGTACTCTAATTTTATACAACTAACAAGACTAGCCGGAATTTTACCGAATAACATGTTATCAGAGATATCTAAATACTCTAGATTTATTAAAATTCCTATGTTCTCTGGCAGGGAGCCTATAAACTGATTTTGTCCTAAACTCAAATTATACAAGTTCAGCAGACCAAAGATTTCTTGCGATATGATACCGCTGAAATTGTTGGCACCAAGATGTAAGATCCTCAAATTCTGACACTCTGCTAAACTCGGCGGGATATTGCCTTGAAGTTTGTTGCCTGCTAAGCTTAACACATTTAATTGACTTAAATTTCTGAAAGAGGATGGAAGATTGCCAGAGAGAGAGTTCCCATTAAAAGCTAAGTGATATAACTTGTGCAGCTTTCCCAGACCAGGGGGAATGTGACCTGAAATTTGGTTCTCGTCCATCCCCAAAAGCTCTAAGTTAGCCAGATTTACAATCTCATTCGGGATACTTCCTAATATTTTATTTTGAGCTATAATGAAGCTTTGAAGAGAAGAAGACAGGTTTCCTATGCACTGAGGTAACGTGCCCCAAAAATTGTTGGTAAACATTTCGAGAATTTCTAAATGGGTGGCGTTGGTCAAATCGCAGAGAAAGGTCAAGTCATCAATTCCCCCACTTCCGAGATGGTTGTTATCAACGATTAACCACTCAAGCTTATGCAAATTCGTCAATGGAGGGACTTTTCCATGCAGGTGGTTACGTGCGATCCCCAAGCTAAATAGATTTGAGGCATTTGATAATGAAACAGGAATAGATCCACTGAATTGGTTATTGGAAATAGAAAATGTTTGGAGACTCGGAAAATGTTTGGAGCTAAATAGATTTGAGGGTAGACTCCCTTGGATTTCATTTATTGCCATAGAAAGGAGTGCGAGAGAAGAGAGGTTAAAGATTGAGGGAGGAAGCATACCCGAAAAGCTATTTAGGTCGAAAGCAAGAAAGATAAGATTGGTCATTCGGCCAAAAATATCCGGGACAGTGCCTCTCAAATTATTAGAAGTTGCGGAGAACACTTCAAGAGATGATAAATTGCTAAAAGAAGTAGGGACTCCCCCTGTAAAGTGGTTATAGTGGATGGCAAAACCTCTTAACTTTGACAAGAGGCCAAGCTCCTTTGGAATCTTTCCCATCAGCACATTGTAACCAATACCGAGCCCGAGGAGCTGAGAGCAACGCGACAAGTTCGTGGGAATTTCTCCACTCAGTGAATTGTTGTTTAACAGTAGGTGTTGCAATCTGTGCAGGCGGCTGAATTCTGGAGGAATTTCGTGGCCTATGCTGTTGTTTTGGAGATCAATGACTCTCAAAAAACTCAAGTTCCCAACATGCGGCGAAATAGATCCTCCAAGTTTCAAGGACCACAGGCTCAAGCTTGTGACCCTCTTATGACGACGACCACATGTAACGCCATGCCAAGAGCAAAAGTGGATGGTTTCATTCCATGAAGTCAGGACTTGAAAAGGGTCATGAGTTATGCTAGCCTTGATTTCAAGCAAAGCGAGTCTATCTGTCTCATTTCCCGGAAGGGCGAAACAAGGAAGGCAAGAGTGGGGAATGAAAGCATGCATAAAAAAGGATGACAAAAACAATGCAGAAATGGAGTTGTAAAACCCCATCCCCATGATGATGCTATTTATTTTGTAAGGAAGTTAAAACTCAATTTATAAAAGAGTATAGCAGGACTGATGGTTTGTATACCAGCTTTAGCAGAATCCAATTTATAATCATAACCAGAGTGCTCTGTACGCATGCAGTGGATCTACAGCCACCGATATCGTAGTCGATGAGGGATAGCATTGACCTGACCAAAAAAGTCTCTCTCTTTTCTTTTTAACTTAATTTTATGAATAAATTCAATTTACATCTAATTTTGTGAACTAATATTAGGAATATTCATTTTTTTGAAAATTATTGTATTCATTCTTCTTTATTTTTTTTAACGAACAATATTATCTACATTAAAGGATGAAGAGTTGGTTAAGCATCACGATGTGCTATCAATAATGTGGTTCAAATTTGCCTTTGATGAAAATTAAACCTAAGACCTCTCACTTCCAATGAAGAGGAATATTATTAGACCGTAATAATAAGTGGCATATTCATACTTTAACTTAAAACAAATGAAAAAAAAAGAGAGAGATTGGTTTTGTGTGAAATTTTCTCTTTGATTATAAACAGTATGACACAGTGACTTGCTTGATGAATGTGTTCTTGTTGAAATTTTTTTATGGATACCAAAAATACAAGTTATGTAGCATATTATTATATGTGTTATAATAAAGGTAGGCAACAATGTTGACGTATGTCACATTTTGGGTATATTAATAAAATAACAAATTTACATTTTATATTTGAGTGAAATAATAACATCACATAATCGTATTCGAATGCATAAAAAATGCTCATTCTTGTTCATCGATAGTATGAAAAAAAAAAGTATTTATCTTTGGTTTTGTACAATTACAATTGCTAATTTTGGTGTAGTGTCGTGTCATTTATTTATGCCAACAAATAGTGTAGGTCTTCTGACCCTCTCCTTCCGGATTGGTGCGTGTTTGCGTCTCGTGAATGGATTGAGGATATACACAAAAGAATACAGTAATGATAAGAAGACTAAATTTATAGATAAAATTTATAAACTAAATGATAAATCACTAATAAGAATCATCATGTTTATCAAAGCTTAATTCATAATTCAATTATCAACTTTCATATTATTTAGTTTACAAAATTTTACCTATAAACTTAATTTCCCTAACATTATCCAAAGAACAAGTAATGGAAACATTACCACACCAAAATAAATAAATAAAAGCTCCGCTACTCTCAGTTATCAGAGAAGATAAAGGTTTTAAGTCACAATTACAGTCACTTCATACCATTAGTGTATAATTTAGTAGTGCTTTTATAGGTTTGTAAGTAAGATTTCTTAAATGAAATCCAACTTTAAGGGGATCAGCTTTTGTGCATCAACACTTGGTTGTAAATTATCTTGATTATAGATTATGGAATATTTGGACTTGACTGGGCATATATGGGTCAACTATATTGTCTCTAGTATTGGACGGTGCCGTGGTAGACTGGTAGATATAGCTGGCATTCATTAATTGTTACTGGCCTACCAGCTTCAGATAAGTGTTGGGGAAGATAGCTACTACATTGTTTTGATTCTATTTTCTTGCTTAGCTTACAAGTTACTATAAAACCAAGTGTCATTAACGAGAATCAAATGCCGTCGAAAAAGGCATTTTGCCGTCACAAATATTTATTTCCGATTGAGAAAGGCCCTCGTTGGGAGTCGCAAATTGTCCCATTGGAAATACTTTTGTCCAACTAGCCGTCGAAAATACTTTATTATCTACGCACAAGACTTGTCATTAGTAGTTAGTTTTTCGTCGGAAATGAATTTTCAAAATGACAAACTTATTTTATTTTTGACAAGGTAATGTGGTCGTAAATAATTATATAGTTGTTGAAATTACTTTCTAAAAGATGACATGTTTTTTGCGATGATGTTATTTTGACCAAATAATAGTGTCAGAAATTTTTTTTCCAACAAAATAATTTTTATTGTGAGAATGCACAATCGTCGCAATTACAATTTTCAACCATTATCTACTACTCTAATGTGTCACATATATTATTTTCATCGGAAAAAAAAATAATAGACACTTCCAATGGAAATTGAGTGAAGAAATATACGCTTTTTGATAAAAATTCCATTGAGCATTGTTTAAAGAATATTTTGTATTATCATTAATAAAAACAAAAGTATATAAGATCAATGTGGTAAAGCCATTACATTCATTACAAACCTAAGATATGTGTTTGAACATATTAACATCAGTCATCAAACTCCGAAAATGCAAGCTTGAATTCTTTTGAAGACGTGCAGATAAAAGCATCTTCCCTTTTGTACATACAGTGTATGTATCTCCTTCATCACTCCTTCATATAGCTTGTTCATCACTATATAGCTCCTTCATGCAGCTAGCTACAGTTTATGCATCTCCTTCATCACTCCTCATATCTCCCTACACCAAAACCACACAACCACAAATTTAATTATGATACAAATATCAGACTAACTGGTAGCAGAGCACAGAAAATCAGCAACTACATAAATGGGTAGCTCCACTTTATTAACTAATAAACAAACAAACAAAAAATGAAAATTTCGAACCCCAGCTTGTCCAAATCTTCATCTGTCAAGGTTAAGGAAGAGAGTACCCTCACAACACTCTGTACCTGTGAATACCCACAAGAAAAAATGGATTAAATCGCAAAATTACCAACAAAAAAGAAGGGTAGCTTGGGGTTTGAGTTTCTTATATTATGTTCAAACATAACTATTTTGAAGTTAAAAAGACTCGACTAAAACCCTTACCACCATAGAGTCTAGCCCATCCGAACTCCGAAGTTAAACGAGTTTGGACGAGAGTAGTACTAGGATGGGCGACCGCCTAGAAAGTCTTCGTGTTGCATCCCTCATAGCCGACCGCACATGGTGGGAAAAGGCTTAAGAAAAAGAAGAAGAAGATAGTAATAAAAGTGGTTGTGCAATGTTAGTTCACTTAAACTTTCGATCCAACCCATGTAATGAGTTTTAGGTCAATGGCTCCGAAACCACAAGGGCTTAAGGGCACTAGGTGTAGAACGCCCCTAAGGACTTACTAACTCGAGCTGAAAAGGCTACGAAACCAACTAACCACCTTGCCCCATGCCAAGACTCTACTATTTGACGCGAGATCACTGCTGATTAGTCATGACTGACCTGGTTACTAAGCAAAGTCTCGGTGGAACAATTATTACTTTATTTATAACAATAACTAAACTTTATTTTTTTTAGAACAAAAATATAAAAAATTAACTCAGACGAAAAGCAAGTGCTTCAATCTCACCCCCACAAATCATGTTGGTGTGAATGTGCTAATTGTGAAAGGATAACTCATGAATTAGTGCCAAAACAACAATAAATAGAAAAGACTCTACTGTGGAATTAATTTCCACCATGTCCATTTGTTCAAATGTTTAAAATAATCTATGAATATTAACTTAAAAAGAATGAAAAATTTTAGCATACTTAAAAATTAAAAATCTAAGAATTTTACCTTTCCACCCCTAAACTTAAATCACACATTATCCTCAAGGTGCAGAAAAAATAAAGAGAGAAAACAAAAATATTAAAACCTTAAAAACTGAAAAATAGCTAACAAAGACAAAAGAAAATAAAAGAAAGAAACAATAAAAGAAAATATAAAATAACAAAGGAAACAGGAACAGAAATAAAAGAAAAGACAATGAAACCGACACACCTGCGATTCGAAGTGGTGACCTGCTGACAAGAAAGAAACAGAGGCGCTGGAAAATATTGGGAAAAGAAGCAAAATTTCAGTGCTCTGGAGAGTTGAACGCGTGACAGGAAACATGAACTAGAGGCCCATTTCCTCATCTCTCCTAACTGGCGCCGTACCCACGAGCCCAGAGCCGTGAAAGCTATCTCCTTCATTTCCTCTTTCCTTTCATTTCTCATGGAACTGAAACCCTAGCTTCCATCATCAACCCAGAACGTCAAAACATGAATCCATCTCCATCTCTGTCAAAAACGGAACCCAGCCATGGCGATCTTTGATTCTAGCCCAGATTGTCACCATCGTGCATTCCTCTGCGAAACCCGAGGTAAAGATCTCTCATTCTCTCTGCGATTATGGTCTCTACTTGGCGATATCTGAATTACAAATGCATCCAACCATTTTTCCCTTCCGTTTTCATGACGGAAGGTCAAATGAAAACGAAATTCTGACTGATGCATGTATGTTTTCTGTGTGTAGACTTGGGGATCCGAGTAAGGCCAGGGGGCATAGGAACTGCAAGGAGCAATGGCTCACAAATGAAGGTGCTGTACACACAGCAAAGATGGCTGCAAGAACTCGGATCTACAAAATGAAAGGTAAATCAAATCCCTCCACTGCGTTAAAATTAAGCATGGTTTAATATCTCTGAAAGTCATACAGATTTGTGAAATGTTTCTGTCATGCATTTATAGACCTAAAATTTCGTCAATGCTCATGTAATTTTCTGTGTGCTTGCAAGCCTCCATGTGACAAATATTGAGACAAAAACTGTGCATGACACTGGATCTGTGACATGGCTTTGATGAATGTCCACCTCTGTGTTGCCTGGACCAACAATATTTTAATGAAATATGAGAGTGAGCGAGCGAAAGATAAATGTTGATGAATGCTCAGATAAATGTTGATGAATGGATGACTGATGAATGCATATTTTTGTATCTTTATTGTTTCGTTTAGAAGAGTAAGATTTATGCCCCTCTTCTTTTTCATGTATTTTTTATTTCTTTTTCACGTATTACGAGAAGTTAAGTTTATGCCCTCTAATTATATGTAACTTACTTTATGTTATTAATAAAATTCTTCTCGTACCGTCAAGGTTTTCTGAAAAAATAAAATAAAAAAAGCAATAAGCTACTATATAACGCTTCCCATTTTCAACCAGGGATAAACCTCTCAACATAGAGCAGGAATTCCAATATAGGTTTGAAATTTGATGAAAAGTTTCCACAACTTTGTTTTTTAATTTTTATTTGTAATTCTTTCAGAGTGTTCGTCTTGTAATGTTTGGCAAAGCTAGAACGTCATTGTTCAAGCATAATTCGATGCAAATAAGTTTGTTTGGCAAACATTGATCAACTAGCCATTTGCACTGCATTTTTTATCTAACAAATACGAGAACGCTTTCTCATAACATCAATACTATTACATGCTATACCACATGTTAACAATAAGCTTCTATTCGCATATACCATTTGCTCGAAGTTTGTTTCTGATGCGACACATATGTGCCACAGCATCACAGATGTTCAATCTTTCTCTAGGCAACTCCGCTGAGCAAGCAACACCAATTTCTAAAACAAAGATTAAACTTCCTATGATTAGGATGCGATTCCTTGCCCTCCCCTCATTAGGATGATTGCTCTCTTGAACAAGAACAGGATCCAAAACCTCTTCCACTTGCTCAGGCAGAGCTGCCTTCACAAAGCTATAAAGGTTTGAAGTTCCCTGAAACATGTCATCAGTCGGTCTTTTTCCTGTAAATATTTCCAACAGGAGGATGCCAAAGCTGTACACATCACCTTGTGTCCACACTTCATGTCCCATGCCATATTCTGCATTCCACAATTCAGAACATTAGATTCTAATTTTCTAGTGAAGTGTTAAAAGTTCATTTCAAGTTTGAAAATTTTAAAATAAATACTACACAATTTTAAAATACTAGCTAGGGAAAAGTAAACCACCAAGTGTATTTACCTGGAGGAGCATAACCAATAGTTCCCTTGATCCCTAAAGAGCTTGATTGATTTCCCGAAGAATTTTCAGCAGCTTTTGGTAGGAACCTCACCAACCCGAAGTCACCTACATGTGCAACCATGTCTTCATTGAGAAGAATATTGCTGGGTTTGAGGTCGCAATGAACTATTGGCGTCTCACAATGATGATGGAGATAATCCAATGCCATAGCAACATCAATAACAATATTCAACCTTTGAGAAATTGTTAAGCTCCTTGGCCTCTCATTTGTCTCACCAATTGTATGAATTGGATACAGCCATTCCTCCAAGCTCCCGTTAACCATGAACTCATAAATTACGGCCTTGAAGTCGTGACCGCAATAATCAAAACCAGAACATGCTGAGAGTACCTTGACAAGATTACGGTGTCTAATATTTTTGAAAGCCTCGCACTCAGCAATAAAACTTTTGTAAGCTCCGCGACGAACGAGGTTGAGTACCTTAATGGCAACTGTAGTTTCACCTTGCTCAAGTATTCCTTTATAAACGGACCCAAAACTGCCCATACCGACCAAGTTGGTTGAGGAGAATCCATTTGTTGCCTTTAGAAGACTTTGGTAAGACACCTGGGGAAATTTGTCCGAATCACTTGCGGCTTGACCCTTTTTGTCCCTCCGTGAGCAATAAAGGTACAAAAAGGTTAGTGCAAAAATGACTCCAAGAATCCCACAAACGAGGGAGAGAACCAATTTCATGGTTAAGCTCAATCCTTTCTTTTTTGCATGCTGGAGTTTGCACTTTGGCAAATGAAACTCAGGTATGCCCCCACAAAGCTTGCTATTTCCTTCAACTGATGTCGCCGTTGCATTCTTGAACACTCCTTTGATCGGCAACATGCCCTCAAAATTGTTATAGGATAGATTCAGAGATTCCAAAAATACAAAACGTTCTAAGAATTCTGGAATTGTGCCAGACTAGTTGTTGTGAGAGAGAGACAATTCTGTGAGACCTCTTAGTGAACTGAAAGTTGATGGAATCGTCCCGTTGAAGAAATTTCCATGCATGTCTAGGTACTCTAATTTTACACAACTAACAAGACTTGCCGGAATTTCACCGAATAACATGTTATTAGAGATATCTAAATACTCTAGATCTATTAAAACTCCTATGTTCTCTGGCAGGGAACCTATAAAATGATTTTGAGGTAAACTTAGTACATACAAGTTCAGCAGACCAAAGATTTCTTGCGATATGATACCGCTGAAATTGTTGGCACCAAGAGATAAGATCCTCAAATTCTGACACACAATTAAACACGGCAGGATGTTGCCTTGAAGTTTGTTGCCGTCTAAGTATAACTCATTTAGTTGACTTAAATTTCCGAAAGAGGATGGAAGATTGCCACAAAGAGAGTTCATACTCAAATTTAATTGATATAACTTGTGCAGCTTTCCTACACCAGGGGGAACGTGACCTGATAATTGGTTCTCAGACAACAACAAAACCTCTAAGTTAGCCAGATTTGCAATCTCATTCGGGATACTTCCTAATATTTTATTTTGACCTAGAAGGAAGGTTTGAAGAGAAGAAGACAGGTTTCCTATGCATTGAGGTAACGTGCCCCCAAAGTTGTTGGTAAACATTTCGAGAATTTCTAAATGGGTGGCATTGCTCAAATCGCAGAGAAAGGTCAAGTCATCAATTCCCCCACTTCCGAGATGGTTGTCAGCAAGGACTAACCGCTTAAGCTTATGCAAATTCGTCAAAGGAGGGACCTTTCCATGCAGGTGGTTACCTCCCATCCCCAATCCAATTAGATTTGACTCATTTGATAATGAAACAGGAATAGATCCACTGAATTGGTTGCCGTTAATGGAAAATATTTGGAGACTCGGAATGACCATACCAAAGTTTGAGGGCAGCGTCCCTTGGATTTCATTTATTCCCATAGAAAGGACTGTGAGAGAAGAGAGATTAAAGATTGAGGGAGGAAGCATACCCGAAAAACTATTTACATCGAAGGCAAGAAAGCTAAGATTGGTCATTCGGCCAAAAATATCCGGGACAGTGCCACTCAAATTATTAGAAGTTGCGGAGAACACTTCAAGAGATGATAAGTTGCTAAAAGAAGTAGGGACTTCTCCTGTAAAGTGGTTAAAGTGGATGGAAAAAACTCTTAACTTTGACAAAAGGCCAAGCTCCTTTGGAATCTTTCCCATCAGTGCATTGAAACCACCATCGAGCCCGAGGAGCTGAGAGCAACGCGACAAGTTAGTGGGAATTTCTCCACTCAGTGAATTGTTGTTTAACCATAGGAATTTCAATCTGAGCAGGCGGCTGAATTCTGGAGGAATTTCATGGCCTAAGCTGTTTGCTCCGAGATCAATGACTCTCAAAAAACTCAAGTTCCCAACATGCGGTGGTATAGATCCTGCAAGTTTCAAGGACGGCAGGCTCAAGCTTGTGACCCTCTTATGACGACGACCACATGTAACGCCATGCCAAGAGCAAAAGTGGATGGTTTCATTCCATGAAGTCAGGACTTTAAAAGGGTCATGAGTTATGCTAGCCTTGATTTCAAGCAAAGCGAGTCTATCTGTCTCATTTCCCGGAAGGGCGAAACAAGGAAGGCAAGAGTGAAGAATGAAAGCATGCATAAAAAAGGATGACAAAAACACTGCAGAAATGGAGTTGTAAAACCCCATCCCCATGATGATGATATTTGTTTTGTGCGAAAGTAGAAATGGAGTTCTAAAAAAGTTGAGCTGTATGAATTGTTTGTCTAGCAGCTTTAGCAGCATCCAATTTATAATCCTAATCAGAGTGCTCTGTACGTAGTGGATCAGCCACCCCAATTGCTATCGTACTGGATGAGGGATGTCCTGACAAAAAAATATATTTTTTCTCTTAATTTTATGAATAAATTCAATATAAATCTAATTTTGTGAACTAATATTAGGAATGTTCACTTTTTTGAAATTATTGTATTCATTCTTTAACTTAAAACAAATGAAAAAAGAGAGCTATTAGTTTTGTATGAAATTTCTCTTTGATTATAAACCGTATGACACAACGACTAACTTGATGAATGTGTTGTTCTTGTTGAGAAATTTTTATGGGTAACTAAAATAAGAGTTAGGTGGCGTATTATTCTACGTGTTATAATAAAGGTGGACGACAAGGTTGATATATTTTACTTCTTATGTATATTGATAAAAAAAAAAACAAAAAAACAAATTCACGAGTTATAAATTGAGTGAAATAATAACACCATATGGTCGTGTTTGAATACATAAAAAATTGCTCGTTCCTGTTCATATCAATAGTATGCCAATAAAACAATAGTTAGCTTTGGTATTGTACAATGACAATTCCTAATTTTGGTGCATTATTGTGTCATTTGTTTATGCCAACAAATAATGTTCGTCCTCACTCCTCTAGTTCCAGATTGGGTGCGGGCTTGCGTCTTGTGAATGGATTGAGGATATACACAAAAGAATAGGTAATGGGAATTTAGGTATGGGCAAGGCTGAGACCAAACAACCACTGCGGCAGAGGCGGCTTTGGGGGACCAAAAGGTGCAATTCTACATGGTTCCAAATTTATTTGAAATGACTTTAATATTTATATTAAAAAAAAAAACTTTTTTTATTAGTATTATAAAACCTCATTGTGTACTCCTTATAATAAAACGCCGAGATTCTCTAGAAAAAAAAAAAAAAGGAAACAAAGAGAGTCGCAAGATTATAGCAAGCCGTATTACTCACGAAAGCCGTATTGTCTAAAGGGGTAAGATGAAGCTAAGGGTCCCGAGGTTAGCATTCAAAACTTTCTACGTACTTTTTTGAGACAGCATTTGGTCTTAGGATTGGTACTAATGAAATGATCAGAGCCACATCATGTTCTCTAGTCGCGTCTAACCACTATGAGTCATTAGAAAAAGATCCAACTGTTTTTTTTAATAAAAGGGGACCAGCTGGTGACTTTGCCACGACAGTCCATTCTTTCGGGGGTAGGGAAGACTCACATAGGCATTTCAACCTTTCCCTGGCCACCATCGTGCGATTCACCAGCGCTAGGAATCGAACCCAAGACATGTCGTGTGGAATACGGGTCTAAAATTCATCCCCAACCACTGGGTCACCCCATGGTGGTTGAAAAAGATCCAACTAAACCACCTGAAATTTAATTCTTTTTGTTCCTTCCAGCAACTCGTATAGGGAAAGAATGACACGTAGACTGCTATCAGAGTCTGAAATACTAGTAAATAATAACATAACCAACTTCCGTAAATAGCCAAACAAGGCATGCCCAAGTCGTTGATGCCTTAACTAAATCTTCTTAATCTTGTCACCATTCCCACTACGTACCTGATTTACTCTGCTAGGAGCCTAGGAGCCACATCGTCGACATAATACAACCCCTTTCTCTTAGTACCATGCCTAATTACAACCCTAGTTTGGATATCCGGAAGTAAGCAAAAAAATAGAAACATTAGTACGATATAACCCAATTGATCGATAATTTGACTAACTGATAAAAAATGATTTGATAATTCTGGAAGAAGCAAGGTATTGTGTAAGGATAAAGATGAGGTGAGTGCAATTGGACCAGCCTTTGATCCGAGATAATATTTCCATTGGCAGTGACAACACTCTCTATTGGAGGATGAATCATGGATGAAAGAAGGACTCATCATGCGGCATGTGGTCACGATCTCTAGAAGCAATTTAGACATTTCCCGAATTTCCTGAATTATCCCGATCAACAAAGAGAGATACTTGATCAAAAAAAGACAATATTGTCTTCTCTCCCATGGTTGCAGTAGGCTTAGGTTTAAGATTTTCAATGTCGATTGCCAAGAACAAGCCGCACGACAAGAATTAGGATTATTGTGCTACTTAAAAAACACGAAGAGGCACCGGGTAAATTTTGGTTATGTGTAGGATTAATGATTGTCCAAAACACAAGACAATCAACGAAGTGTAGGGCAATGACATCCAAGGAAGCTACATGACATGAATAGTTTTTTGGGTTTAGGTTTTTTCTTTTTTCTTTTTTTTTTTTTCCGGAAAAGAGACAAGCCGTGACCCTTTTTTTTATTTTTTTTAATATAGAAAACCTTGATTGTACGAGTGAAATTTTATTGATAATAAAAAAAGTTCCACCTAGTCAAGATAGATATAAACCTAACCCTTCATAATACAAGAACAAAAAAATAAAAAGGATTGAAAACACATGACAAGGAAGGGGGACATAATATTTTACCCTTCTAGAAACGAAAACAATAATGATACAAGGAAAAAAAGGTGGGGGGGGACCTGAAACCTAACCCCTCCATAGCCAAACCTAAAAGTCTAAACCTGTAAAACAAATTAAGTTAGATCACATGTTAAGAAAATAAAATAAGAAAGTGAGACAAACCTATATGTCGAGATGCACATTCATTTGAGAAGCGGAAGCGAGTAAAGCCAACATAGTCTGAAAACAAAGCAGTACGAGCCACCAGCAGAGGGGAATCATGCCATACCAAAGTTGGAGAAGACGAACATATATTAGCAAAGTTGTATGCAACAACATTCCTTTCGAAATATATGTGAAAGGTGTAGAAAGTCATCTTTCGAATGCGATCTAAACAAATAGACCATTGCGTACAAAGAGGCCAAGGAGGGTCAAAAACAGTCGATTGGAAAGAAAATAACACTAGAACAGTCACTTTCCAACCAAAGACAATGCCATCCCTGCTGATATGCAAACTCTACACCAATAATAATTGCTGATAATTCTGCATAGAAAGAGTTGTAATGACCAATTTGATACCAAGATAAAAGTGTAAAACTTTTTTTCTTTTTTGACGGTACGAGGGAAATTTTATTAATAACGAAAAAGAAGTTATACTTTATCATTTTCCGAAGTTAAAGTTGGAGAAGACAAGCCCATGTTAGCAAAATTGTCCGCACCAAAATTTCCTTCGTGATATATGTGAGATGCGTAGTAAGTCATTTTTCAAAAATGAAACACTACCGGTACTGTTCACCTTTAACGAAAAACCACGTTTCTACCTTTCCCTGGTACTATTTACTATACCTTTATTTGTCATTTTTCATTAAAACTAAAATATTTTTAGACTTTTCGTTAGTTTTCATTTTGTGAATGTGGTCCAAACAAATACACCATGGCTTACAAAGAGGCCAATGAGGATCAAAATCAGACGACTAAAAGGTGTAAAACTTGATGAGAGTTTTTGGGTTTGTATTTTTGTGTTGTATTCTTCTGTCAAGTACAAGTATAAGCATATCTAGGTACACGACATCCCCAAATTACAAAGCTATAATAAATAGGGAAGTTGACTCACGCAGAACAACATGCTGGATGGTGGATCCACACCTAGGACTATCGTAATCATTGACGCATGGTTGAATTGCCCAACACTAACAGAACTATTGAAAGTGAACGTTGGCAAAAGACTTGGAGTATGTGTCAGTTGACATGACGGTCAGCAAAGGTTTCCAAGAGTTGGAGCAATAGTGCATACTCTTTCACACAAACATAGCCCTCTATATTTGGTCATGCCAACCCAATCCGTATGTATATTTTAGTGTACACAAAATATGAACCGGTACATCACGTGTCATAATATAAATAGAGGAATACTTCAAAAAAACAACTTCTTCCTGCTTATATTATGACATGTAATGTACTGACTTGTGTTATAGGTACATGGAAAAATCTCTCTTCTAAGGACTGTCAAATGTACATGGAAAAATCTCTCTTCTAAGGATTGTCAAATTTTATTTCCAATAGATGGTGGCAAAGAGGCACTGTTATAAATCGTGTTCGATTCCCCATTTAAAGTAGTGGTGAAATTAGATTGTTGATTTGAATTCATGCTTTGAACGTGTAATCAAGACTTACTCAACTAATTAATTTGCAAAGTAGGCCAGTAATACTTGACCTATGAGAAGCTATATCAAATCATGATGTAAAACCCAAGAAATTAAATGAAATCATCATTTTCAGATGAACTAGTTTGGCTAAAATGCATCTGTTTTCAGCTTTCAACTTGCTTTTTGGAATATACATAGCACTGGCCTACAAGTACTTTAGCTAGTGTTGGAAAATTTCTTTTGCATAATTTAGGCCAGTCAATAATTGATGGTCTCTCAGTGTTGGAAAATGGATGCATAGATGGGGGAAGATATCATCTCCGGATCTCTCCCACCAAGTCTACCAAACTCAGTGAATCGGACCCTTAAAATTTGATCCAATGGCTAAAGTTATTATAACTTTTAAAGGGGCTCCTGTTTTTAGCTGTTTGATCAAATTTCAAGGGTTCGGATCACTGGATTTGGTGGGAGAGATCCAGACCCATAGATAGCTTTCCATTGCCAATTATTACAAGCCTACCAAATTGCTTACTCGGAAGTCCTACGGGACTTGGCATCAGTCAAGCACTAGTTTGTGTATCCAATATCTGTTATTTTCCAACACTAATGATGAGTTTAAATATATGAAGAAATAGCACTTAAAGTAGTCCATAATGATTTTTTTTTTTTTTTAAGTGCAAGTAACAACTTTGGAATTTCTTTCAACTCACTTAATCAATGGTTCGAGATTACTCATTTCATCACTGAAAGCCTTCAGTAAAATCTCATTATAGATTTTGTGTAGGTCAACTGTCAAGTATCGATCGTCTGCCATTGTT